TCCCCCCCCCCCCCCCCATACAGTGTAATATTTTGCGTGGCAAAGTCACGCTAGCCCGCAGGCAGCCCCATACCTTGCCTACTGGAAATTTTTTCCAAATTCTAACTATGGATATAGTATGGAACTTAGTTGAAAATATTGTGGAAATCCAATTTTCATACAAATCGCAATTTCCATATACCATGTATATGTAGTATGGAAATAGTATGGATATACTATGGATTTAGTGACGCAATCGCAATTTCCATAGTATGAATTTCACTATCATTTTTTCCAGTGTATGTTATTGACCAAGAAAGATTGGATATTTGGGATTATAACAAGCAAATATATACTGCATATTTAATTCATTTTGCGCCCAGAATTTTGAATTAATTGCTGATGCAGCGAGCGAGCCTGAAGCGAGCGAGCAAGTCAGCAGTTGTAATTCGTATTGGGCTCTGAAAGTAAGATTTTACTTTCGTTTCTCCGACCAGAATGCACTGCTGTTAACCGACCAGAATAACCAGAATGCGTTGCTGTTAACCGACCAGAATGCTTTGCACGCATGCATGATGCCACATGCTGAGAATCGCATTAGTCAGTTTATATAAGCTGGTAACGATGCAGTTCTTTTGGTATATTTTGTTTTCATTGTATAGTCTGTTGATTTCTGCAATTTTGGCTGGTCTTACACTATATATGTACTGAATTTGCTTATTACAAACAATTTATAACGCTTGGAAAGCGATATTTCTGTGTTTGTGCTCTTCGCCTTATCTTGTTTTCTCTCAACAAAGTGTTTTAAATGCTTGAAACACTCATTTAATAATTAATGAGGAAACACACAAAGAAAAATTATAAGCGTGTCGTATCTTTATACAGTATGTGATAGAGATTTCCCTTCATATCAAACTTTGCGTTAACAAAAAGTCGTGTCGTATTGCGCGTATCATATTTCCAACTTTTGCCTATACAAATCACCCCAAAATTTGATGTTTTTTCGCTTACGTTTGCTTTACGATTAGATCTGTGTTCAGTTACCTACGGTATAGGAAAGAATAAGCCTTTAGACGTCTTTTGAATGTACTTTTATGGGGAAATAATACTTAATTCGAAGGGCACTTTTCGTTTGATTATGCGCTATTTGTTATGATTTATATAGGAAATTCACCTCGCGCGCAGTGTCTGTTGAAGAAAACTGGCACTAGGACCTTATGCGCAGGTCTCTGACTCCAGTTACCTCCAGATTTGAAGTCTTCGTGAAATTTGGCGCAGTTTGATAGCAAATTCGTGTTTATTTATGGCGATTTAGGAAGGGCAAAATGTGCACTAGGATGTGGGTTTTGCTTGTGTTTACAAGCTCATTAATAATTCAATTGATCTCGGCTGTAGAAGATGGCGAAGGGACGTCTTAGACTCAATATCTCCCTTATATGTCTTTATCAACATGAGCTCCACCTTTGAATTTACTATATGAGTAAATTCTTAAACACGTCCGAATTTATCATTATTTATCATTTATCGAATTTATCATGTTCTTTAAAACAATAGTTTTTAAAAAAGTTTTAAAAAGTTTTAAAAGAGTTTTGAAAAGAAAAAAATTTAAAAAGTTAAAAAAATGAGGGTTAGGGGTTAGTGGTTAGGGGTTAGGGTTGCATGGGTTAGGGTTAGTGTTAGGTGCCGCGAATTTATTATTATGATAAATTCAAAATTTGCTGCGAATTTATCATAATGATAAATTCGGACGTGTTTAAGAATTTACTCATATAGTAAATTCAAAGGTGGAGCTCATGCTGCTCAACCTCTATGCCCTAGTAACATGATATTACTCGCTTCTGGCAGTATAAAACTATATATTTTAGATCAAACAACAAGAAAAATTCATGCGTATATTTTAGGATGTGACAAGTTCAAATAGGCATTATATTGCTTGCTTTTCATGCAAACAAATATATATATATTGTTCGAAAAACAAGTATTAACGTGTATATCTAGCCTCCTCCGCAGGCAACTGTGTAGTTCTGCAACGTTATTAACCATAAAAGATTTATCAGGAACGTAGCCCATTACTTCCTACATTATCCACAAGCCTCCCTATTTTTACGCTCCAGTGTTTATTATAAATATCATATCGTATTTCAGAGCTAGTATTTCCTTGTATTTTCTACGTTCCTGATAAATCTTTTATGGTTAATAACGTTGCAGAACTTACACAGTTGCCTGCGGAGGAGGCTAGTGTATATCCATCTTTCAGACTACTGCAGTGGAAGAAAATTAAAAAAGATTGAGTTATCAAACACAAGTAAATTCGGTGTGTTTCAGACAATCTTGGACAAAACCTTTGAGACCATGCATTCCAGCTAATATTACAAAGTTATTGAACATTGACAAAACAAAATTTGTCTCCCCCTCCCCAGTTCAATGTTGTGAACAACGCCGAAACAGCTTTTGGTAATATACCATGATACAAGCTCAACATTGAGTTGGGGGAGCGGGGGGTTAAGAATGGCAACATGATTCAACATGGAGTTTATCATAAAAATACGCGAATTTTCTATAGGGCGAAAATGGTCTGAACCAGTTATGTCCAAGATTGTAGGTATTAATAAGCTCAATTAATGCAGGAAAAGTTTATTAAGTATATATTTTACTGCATGCAATTTCGTACCTTTCTTGGAGCAACAGGATGATAAAATATCCAGCCTTTGTCACCAGCGTTGCAGTCATGAAAGTTGTGATCCAGCGTGTGGGTTAACTGGCAGTTTGGAGTCTTCTTCTGGTACTTTTTCTTAAAATTGTATCCAGCACAGAGTGGATATTGCAAACACTTCATGGCACAATGATTCTGGAAATCATACGTCGCTTCAGAGAGAATATCTTTTATCAAAGGGCAAACATCTACAACGAAAAGAATATTTATCAAGCAAAGAAAAACGTTTACATGCGGAATAGCCAGTGGCGTAGCCAGCCCGAAAATTTGGTCATGCTATGCAAATATTTCCGTGTTTATAGACCGTGAAAACAATCGATTCTAAAGAAATGAATAATGATGATGATGTGATATTTGCATAGCATGACCAAATTGTCGGGCTGGCTACGCCACTGGGAATAGCTATATATATTGTTGCAGAAATGACATGGAAACATTAGAAAAAACACAATATATAACACAATGAGTTAGAAGCAAGAATGAGGGCTTCCCTATAAATTAAACTTACCTCCATACAGCAAGCGAAAAGGAATCGCCACGTTCGTGTGATCGTCACGCATGCAGTATTTTTGTTCCATTGTGACTGCATGTGGCAACAAGATCAGGAACAGAAATCGCACAGACATGAGCGCTGTTCGAAGAAAGCGTTTCATTTCGTTGTTATGAGAGAACACAGACTCGGATTGATCAATTTTTGGTTGTTTTCTGCTCGTTGACAGCCAAACTGAACTAAGTGGCAAATGGAGGAGGCCAGGACGTTATATACCTGCAACGCGCCATGGCAGGGTACGTGATGCCCATGCAATTGTTGGCTCATTTAAAGAGAATGTTTACATTGCAAAACCGACAAGCACTTAACCAACCTCGTACCCAGGGTATTTGCTCTTGGGGAGCGAAATACCCTGGTATGGCCTGGTCACGTGACCCGGATTTTGCGTAAATGGCGTATTGTTTACTAGGGTCGGGGGAGTGAGTATACATTGTCACGCGTAGTAATTATATCACGCTTTTAAATTTTAATTACTAGGAGTGACAATGTATACTCAACTCCCCCGACCCTAGTAAACAATACGCCATTTTACGCAAAATCCGCGGGTCACGTGACCAGGCCATACCAGGGTATTTCGCTCCCCAAGAGCAAATACCCCGGATACGAGGTTGGCACTTAACGCATCCTTGTTCATTTGCGTCTTAATTGCATGAATTGTGGCAAAATATCGCTTTAATAATTAAATTGTTTGTCAAAGTTTCACCTGTTCACGGACAGAAGATTATAGATCTTCTATCTTTTTTGGAACACATTTTACGCAAACCTAAAATTTTAAACACCAATAACGGTCTCTTCTACCGGCTCATTGACAGTTTTAGCTAATATGAAATTACAGTTATTCCAAAAACGTGTTACTTGTGCATAATTATACAATACACGCACTAGTCGCAACAACTTATATATATGCTAAATTATGCACGCAAATTTTTCTTCTCCGAATAAGTTAACTACGCATCGGGCAAAATACTTGTCGGGCAACTACTTGTCGGGCAAAATCCTGAAAAGTCGGGCAAATTTCTTGCCGCCCCCCTAAATTTTTCCTTCCGGTACGCCCATGGAAGAGAAATTGTTGTATTCAATCCATGCAGTATACTGCTCAAAAATCTTAATTATTACAAGCCGTTTATATTGCTTCCATGACGGAAAAAGAGCCCAGCGAGTATAAGTTTTTGGAAAGCTAGGAGAAACGCTAGGCATAATTAGACAAATGCACTTAATTAACAAAATAACCAAAGGTTATTAGTCGTTGTGTAGTGACAGTATGCTTAAAAGGTCATTACGCTCATATCAAAATATTAGCTGAAGTATTTTTAGAAGACAACATTGATGTGAAAATATAAAATTTTTGGAATAAAGTTTGGTCCCATTACAGGCGAGCAAAAAGTTTCCTTATAGTCATGACTAAAATTACTTGATGCACAATAATATTTTTAAACACCTGCATGCATGTGTTTCATGAGTGCAGATGTCACTTGCGAGTTGCGAGCCTCATTTTCATATTGAAGTTTATCGCATTCATATAATAATTTTTTGCACATTGCACATCGACATAGCTTTGAAAAAGATAGAAAACTTGCTATTTAGATTTGTATATTTTTTTAAAAACAACAAGTATCTTCTCACTGATGTAAAACAGCATCTAAAGGATTTGATTTTTTTCCCAAAAGTTAAACAACTGCCGTTGCTATGGCAGCAATGACGTTTCAAGAAGGCGGATATTTTAGCTTTAAAGTAATTTAACTCGAAAATATCATCGGTGCATGAGCCTCAAAATTTATTTCATAAAATGATTTTTCTTAGTATACTAAAAAAAATCATTTTATGAATGAGTATATACTCAATTATCTTAGCAATTGTAAGAAAATTTTGTTGTCGTTGAGAAAAAATTATTTACGTAATTTGAAAAAGTTTGGCTCGACAGACACTAAGATAAATAATTTTATGAAATAGAATTTGGGGGTCACCAATGTCGTTTACGAGTTGAATTAAACTTCAAACAAAAATATCCGCCATATTGGAACGTCATTAGAGAGCTTATAAGCTTCGCGCACTGATCTGAAATAAGACTGGGTAAAACGTCCTATTGAATTCAGTAATCCGATTTTGAAGCCAGAATATTTTGATGAGATAAGATTTATAAATCAGTCAAATTCATGACCAGTCTAATCGTTTGCTGTTTAAATTCAGTTAGACTATAAAGCAAATGTCTTCGCCTATGTGACTTGTGAAATATAGCTTCCAAACCGCTCTTCGAAGTAGTTTTAGAACGTTTTATACACCACATATAACGAGGCTTATGCATGGCGGCCATATTTGATGCCCCCCCCCCCCCATTATTTATTCACCACTGGGAAAAAAGAGAGACTACTGATGATAAATTCTTATCTATAGGCAATATTTGTCCTTTCCCACTAGTGACTAAAAACGTAAAGGAACAGTAAAACATGTCCACTACACCAGATTAGATTAACTGGTGGGGCCATCCAATATGACCTCTATATTGCCCATTGGCTTCACTTATATGCATAGCAGATGCTTTATCCAGTCTTAATTATTTCAGATTAGTGGCTTTGCGTTATACGTCAAATGGCAAACGCCAGGTAATTTAGGCAAGAAAAAGTTTACCTTGCTGGTTTAATACTGCAATGTATGATTATTCTTTCGACCCAAGAAAGAAAATATGAAAAGAAAATGTCCAACGAAAATTTTGCCCTGAAAGTTCGAACCTGCATGCATTTGCCTTTCCTGCAAAGCTGAAGCTTAAACTCCCTATTGTTGTCATAGCAACGGCAGTTTCGTAACTTTTGTGCCGACTCTTTAGACGTTGTTTTACATAAGTATAAGATGATTTTTGTTTTTCGACAAGTAATACGCCCCAAAAATGCAGATCTAATTTTTTTATTTTTAAAAAGCTGTATCGAGCCATCTTCATCCAATAATACATTATTTGGTCTGGAAACGCATAAGAGGCAACAATAACTATTTCCTTGATCTTGACAACCAGAATTAACAGACAACAGTAAAACTTTTCCGGCGCTTCTCATGCGGACAGCACTGCATGCAGTGCATTAAGGTGCAGTTGCTGGAATACAGCTTCAACGTGGTTTATTAGGTGTTGTCGACTTGTATAATCTAGCTCCGTTAAACAATTTACCGTCAGGAATATTACTATAAACTATAAAATCTCTATAGACAAAAATCTAGTAGCACTGATAATAATTTGCACGTACTGCACTGACCATTTTCCGCGCAATATGTAATATTACTGCTATTGAAGTAATTTAGTAGCGAACTTGCTTCCATTATTAACTAAAAGGTAACTATGAACTTCCCGCTATTTTTGTCGGTTATATATACGCAGCTGTTTGTAAATTGTTTTTGAGCAAAAATGCAAAATCCACGACCTAATGGACAACTTGCATGTTAGACAAAATTTTAATCTAAGATTTAAGTAAAGAGAAGGGGATCAAACACCACAGGTAAAAAGAACATAATAAAATTAGTAAAATTGCAAAATTTGGTTGTAAAGCTTGGAAAATATAGTCTTGCAAAGTTTGCAAATTTTGTATATTAGGGAGCTTTAGATTTGACTACGAGTACGACTACGAGTACGAGATTTGACGCGTGCGAGGAAGTCACCGTAGTCGTTCTCGTTTCCATTCAAATGTTGCTTTTATAACAGTAAATCAACAACGAGAGAAAAAGTTTCATAAACTAAATCTCCTTCTGACTAAAATCCCCTACAAAACTTGCAAATAAGTTATAAAATCAAAAACAGGCCAGATATTTAGTACTAATATATTATTTGCGCCGGATAAACGCTATATAAATGCTACAAATTATTTTTGGAAAACAAAAAAAAGCCAACTTTCTTTGTTTTTTTGAAAAGTCGTCGTGAGGACTACGAGGTTTCTCCACAATTTCGTACTCAGATGGGCGACGGCTACGACTTTTTAGCGTCAGTACGGGATGGCGTAAGCATACAGCATGCGTTTAGCTTGACGAATCTCGTACTCGTAGTCGTACTCGTAGTCAAATCTAAAGCTCCCTATTATGTCGGCTACTACGCGCATGCGGAAATTGTTACCATTTCGGCTGAAAAATATAACAATTTCCGCACGCAATACGAACATTTATACAAAATATGCAAGCTTCGCAAGGCTATATTTTCCGTATTTTACAACATTTTGTATATAACCAAATTTTGCAAAATTCCTAATTTAAATAAGTTCTTTACGGGTATTTACTTTTTTGCCTAATGTCATGTCCACCAATAGCCTTCTCGCGCCGTGGGATGCTTTCCCACCAGTTAATAAAAAAGATGTAAACTAAGGTTATTGACCGTGCGCAATGATTCGGGCAAATGTGCACATGCGTTTGGTATATACTTTGGCTTTCGTCCTCCTTTCCTAACATTGCTAACATTAACCAAAAATTAGATTTAAATGTAATAGCATTGGTTTTATAAAGCAAAAAATTAGATTTGTCACACCTGTGTGCTGAATTTCAAGAGATGCACCTCAAATATTGCGACTCTACTGAACATATGGGCCTCTTGCGGCTTATATAAAACCTGCAGAAAAAGAGAATCAGCGACAACTCTTCAAACACAAGTTCCAAAAATGTACATTATGTTGACGATCAGCATGTTCATATACATTCCAAAATCCGGTATGCTCATGAACATGCTCACATGCATATCAAAATCCGGTATGCCCTCTCCATTGTTCTGGACCTTCGACTTAGCGAAAGCGGTCACAGAATTCTGAAAAGTATTGGAGAAGGAAAATAACATGTTCCTGAAACGTAATTTAACAAGCCTTTAAGAAATATAAGTAATTCACATATGCAACACAAAAATTAAGATCACATATATGCAGCACAATAATTATTTGAGAGTGAAAAGTTGTTATTTAAGTTGTCATTTCCTTGGGCAAAATAGATTTGGTGTGACGTACATACAGATGGTGGTGGATTTGCGTTGGTGGGAATGAAGGATAGTCCTGTATCTTGGACAGTACCATCTAA